ATATATATATATATATATATACGTATGTATATATATATATATATAATTTGTAATCAAAATTAAAACCAAGTCGGTGTGATGATCCCATGTTAGTGATGTAACTACGATGCATGCACACGCTGAACGCAGATATGCCAAGCTTTTCAGTCTTGAACTTGCATACCTTCAGTTAGTACCCACCGATTGTTTGATATATTATATGCACCATCTCTTGAGGGATCGTTGGAGTGGTCGTTTATTTTTTGTCGGATACTATTCCGTTTGCATCCACTGATTATGACCAAGACGCGAGCAACCTTTCTCCTCAAATTTTTCCACCCCTACGTGATGTTTTTGATATTAGCAACTGCTTTGTCATCCTTGTGCACCTAATTTCTAGCATTTTGCTGCCTGAGTTTGCAGTTCACTGAATTCTGAGCGAAAAACAGTCATACAGTCGGTTCTTACTGTTCCATTTTGCTGGTTTCGTTGGTATTCGTTTAGTATTTCGCGAGTTATGCTTATCATATATATAGCCGATAGAAGGCCCATAGTCTGTGCGCTGTCTGTCTTTGCAGCTGGGGATATAACATAGACTAGGTCCAATGCCTATCGACGCATTTTATGATATTTAGATTGATCCCTTATCACTAATCCTAATATATCCGCAGCCCACCGTGCCTGTTAGTTTTTTACACATCAGTAATAGCCATGCCAAATTTATGTGGGATGGCACTAAATTTTTCGAGAAAGGTGATATGGAAAATCCTGGTTTCTCACTGTTGCCTTTTATCCTTCCCTTTTTTTGAGTGAATTTCAGAAAATACGGATGAATTTTGGGTAAATGATGCGTTCACCTCAAAACTTACTCGAATCAAAATTCAAATGGTATCGGGACGAGCTGAAGCAGAACCTGAAAGAAAAGAAACACGCTCAAGAGTTAGTTTTTTTTTTCCCTTGCATTTCTTATTATCTTGAAATTTTTGTTTTTTGCCCATCGTTCATTAGAAATAACAGATGACATACTTTGGGGAAAGAAACCTTCACCTTCCTGAGATACCGGAGGGGAAACGAGTTAATATCCCAGTACCTGGATAAAGAGATAAATGCTCATCATGGGTGTCCAGCGCCATAACGCAAACGAACTCGAGGACGTTGAGCAAAGCCCGAAGATAGCTTCACTTTCCTGAGACACTTTTCTGTGTTCATTTTCCTTATATCTTCAGCCGATTGTTTCCTTCATTTTCTTCACCCCTTAAAAAACCCAAAGGAATTATCAATAAACGAACAAGATAATGAATGTATCAACATTCCAATACTTTGCATAAATGTTTGATTTTTAATGCAGATTGATGAAGATAGAAAACACGAAGTTGAAGCTGCTGTTGTGCGTGTAATGAAAG